ATTAATGTGCACCCTAATATGATTTATCACGTGAAGAGCTACTCTCTCACACACACAGCACCGGCGATGCCGTATGATGAACTAGAAGGTTTGACAGGATATGAAATGTTGTTTTGTTGATGTGATTAGTAAGGTAAGAAGTATATGATGAGCATTAATTTATTTTTTAACCGTGTGTGGTGTTTCTTTTTTACACCCTGTGAAGTAGTCCACTGCATACAATAATAATAATAATAGTAGAGAAAAAGAAAGGTGAGAGAAAGAGAGAATAATGGTTTACTCAACTTGCTTTGAGGGGATGGAGTGGTAGTTGCGTAGTGCAGAAGGGTGTATGATGCACGGCATTGCTATTGTGAGATGGTGTACAATCTCTCCACCATAATGCTTGAGAATTGAGTGTGAAGGACTACTTTTTATGGTATGAGCAGTTTTATGTGCCTTTGTCACTGTACAAGGTGGCGAAGGATGGCCATTCTATTTGTTATACGAGAGGCTAATTCCTCATTATATTCTTCACATCTCATACCTTTCAAAGATGTTTTTCTTGTTTCCATACAAGTTTTCACAGTCATAATAGTTTGCTTCTTTGCTACATTTGTATCGCTTTTTTTTTCTTTATTTTGCTATAATCAACATTGTTCATATTTGAAAAATGAACTCGTTACGTTTTATTTTGTTTTCAAAGACACATCGCTTACTGAGAAGCGTCACTATATTTACTAAACAGTTTTTAACCCTGCTTTACCTCCACTTTTTTTTCTCCTACAGGATTCTATTTGTATCTTACGCCATGTGACGTGGATGCATTCCATCGATGATTTATTTGAGCTCTTATGCCGCGCTCCTTGCGCTACCAGATTCCCTGAGGAAGAAGAGATCAACGGCACCATGACACTTACCTTTTGTACCTAGTAATATTCCCAGGTCCGATGATATTCGCACAAGTTGTACAAAAGTATTATAACGTTAACCTCAACTAAGGCTTATATCCATTTTTAATAATATAAGCATTATTGTTTTACTTTTTCTTATTTCCT